TTTTTGGTCATAATAACTGAACAGACCTGAGGTGAGCATGACCTCAGCTCGCCCATCTCCTGTGTCATTGAGGGATCCCTGATGCCTTCCGTCACCCCTGTGAAGAGGCAACCGTGCCATCCCTGGCCCATCTGACAGCCAGGAAGGGGTCTCCTTATCTGGGGACGACTGGCGCCACATAGGAGTTGCTTTTTTGGGAGGACAGCAGTGGTTGGCTCCCCTCTTGCTCTCAAAGCTTGGGTTTTGCTCCCCGAGATTTTTAATGTTCCCTGGGGTTCCAAGGTGCAGCCAGGGTGGAGAGCATTAACCCAGCCTGACTTCCATGTTTGGCACCAATGCCAAGGCCAACGGGTCACCTTCCTCATCACATACAGGTCCTAACCCTCGGGCCAGAGCTGTCCCCTGCAGTGCCCACTGCCTGACTTTGGATTTCAGGCCAAGCAGCTGCCCCAGGTCACCCTGTAAGGGGTTTGGCCTTGACTGCCTGCCCCAGCTGGACCAGGATGACCCTCACTGGTCGGCAGTGAGCCCAGAGTCCAGCTCTCATGAAGCTCTTCTGGCGTCTGCCCCTCCCTGCCTACATCAGCTCTCTCTCCGAGGCACTCTGCTTACCAGGCTAAGAGACGGCGCTCTTCCGGAAGTGCTGAGGAAGGTGCCCTGGACACAGCTCCCACCTTGCCTCTCACTCTCCTGGGGTCTCCAGGATCACTGCCAACTGCACCAAGGGAAGCCTTTCCGGATGGCCGAGCTGCTGGGCCTGTTTTCCTTCGCCCTGTCGTTAGTGTGGATGGTTAGTTACTGCTTCTGCCCTGAAAATGGAGCCAGTGACACTTTTGTACCTAAAAGACGCTTGAGAAATACTGGTCCTGGGTCTTGCCTCATCCAGTCCTCTGTCAGCCCAGTCTCATTTTTCTGTGTGATTTTATTCTCTCTTCTCCCACTGACCTTTCTTTAAGCTTTTGGTGTAAGTGGATTTATTATAACTATCACTATGACCAGCCCTGGGTCCCAGGAGCACAGAGCGCTGCAATGAACCAGTAGCACTAATGATAAGGGGGTTAATTTGGTCCCGGTGGGTGTGTCCAGATAGGCAGTCTTGTCAGGGGTTAGCGTGTCCTTATCTCGGCAGAGTCCCGTGGTCAAAGGATGAGGTTCTAAAATGAGTCTGGGGGCTTCAGGGAGGCTGACTTATGGACGCACGTCGAAGGTGAACCACAGTAGCCTCAAAAGTGTTTGCAGCCAGTGTGGAGGGGAGAAGGGCCCAGATTGTAATTGTCAGACAATTCGGGGAACCCTGAGTTTTGAGGACTCAGTCTGAGGACCAGTCATGGACTCTCGCATTCGATGGTATCGACGCATAATGCGGGGGCTCTTCCTGATGTCGACTGGGTTAATAAGGGGCATGCTCTTTGGGTCCAAGGCTAAGTATTCTTATCAGTCATTAAAATATACAAAGACCTCTGCTTGTTGACTGAGCCCGATGATAAGGAGTTTGCAAGTAAGGGACTTAGTTTATGAGGCAGACTGTGGGAGCAAAGTGCCTGGGGAAGGCTGGCCCCTGCCCTGAGCCTTCTCCTCCTTTGCAGGCTTTCCGAGGGCACAAGGCAGGGGAGAGGTTATTATGTCCTTCGGAAAGATCCAGCAAGGTGGCAGGGGGCAGAGAGGAGCACCACAGGGCTTGCCCTTGTGGCAGCGACAAGTCCTTATTTTACATAAGCAGGGCAGACATCGCGTCTTGGATTTCCTGGTGCTGTATGACGGTTTCTTTATCATGATAGGTGGTGGTTCTTTCCAAGATCTGTGTGTCCATCTCAAAGGATATATTGCTTGTTTCCATTCGTGGAGAAGGGAAGCGCATTCACTGAATTTAAAGGAACAGGTTTTGGGTTTTTGGAGGTTTGGGATTTTTTTTCCCTTTGAGGAATCCAGAGTGTGAGTGTGTGCGTATGTGTGTGCATGCTCACACACACAAAGTCATGAATCATCACCTGTTCAACTCATGAAGAGAATATCAAATGTACTAGCTTTTAAAAAACAAGTCCTTATAACTGTGTAGAAAGATCTATTGTAATTTGGTTATTTTCCAAATGAGCACCTCTCTTTTCCAGCATAGGAAGCTGGAGCTGATAGAGGAGTTGTCAGATGGTGTGCTTCCGTGGATGGACCTCTTTTTCTAGGGTGAACGCCCTGGTCTGAGTGGGACGAGAGCCTGTGGGGCCCAGGCTGCCCGGCCCGGTGTTCACATGGGATTCGCTTGGCATGTGCAACTGGAACAGGCACGCTATTCTCGGGATAGGAGTCGGGAGGCAGCCCCGATGCCAGAGGAGCCTGAGGGATTGTTGGTGGGATTTCATGGATTCCCCCTCGAATACGAGCTCCTTGAGGACAGGCATCAAGCCTGGGTCAGCTCTGTGTTCCCGACAGGCGAGGCTCGCGGTCGGTGTGGTCGAGTGGGGCGCAGGGCGTGGAGGGGGTGCACTGCCGGGCCCTTGCTAGGGCCTTGGGTTGCTGCCCACGGACCCACCTCAGGGCTTCCTGGTGCACCTCTGTTGGGATCACCCAAGGAGGGCTGTCCTTGAAGCTACACAGCTGCTTCAGTTGCAGACTGGGCAAAACACTGAATGTCTATTTACTAGTCACCTGAAAACGCCGTTCTACAAAGGAAGGCTCAATGTCTGACAGAATTTGTTGAGATTTCCAGGATCTGAAAGCTAAACATTTATTTCTGCCTGTGAATATAAGTTATCTCTAATGACAGTTTGGGTGTGCATACTTAAACTAATATTTCACTTTTGATTTAAAAACTCAGAACATTATCCGGAGATAAACGGTAGATGTCATTTTAATCACTACCTTCTGGCTGTGGAGGAGACATTGGTGTTGAGTGAGAACCTGCACGGAGGCCTGAAGGGGACTGATTTCCTAGGTAGCCAGTGATCGGCAAATGTGATGCACAGAGTTATGCTTAGAAGGGGTTGGGGGTGAGGGTATGGAAGGACACGTGGCACAGGTGGGCTCAGGCACAAGGCGTTTTGGGGTGACCCTGCCGCTGTCTGGAGTTGGAGGAGCGGCCAGAGCTAGGGCAGCAGGGCTGATCCTAGTTAGTTGGGGATGGGGTGGGGTGTCGGGTCAGGGTTCAGCCCCAGTGGAAGAAACTGGAATGTAAAGCAAAAACCCAGTAGCTGCTGGTCGTTAATTGCCCTGTGCCAAGGACTTTGCATCTCTCTGTTTCTTAGTTACTCTCCTTTTCCCATTTCATAGATGAGGAAACTGAGGCTCAAGGATTAAGGAGTTTCCTAAGGCTCCAAAGCCTCTGGCCCCAGGACTGGAGTCCAAGTCTGTCTGACCCAGCATGCATGCTCCTTTGTGGAATTGCACATCCTTCGGATGGGGAACGTGGGGGCGCCTGTCCCCAAGAGCTACGACGGGTGGGAGTGTGGCTACCTGGGCGTCTGCCCTGTCCCAGCCTGGGACTGCATACCAGTCAGATCCAGCACTTGCAGGGGCTGTGCCTCAACTGATGACCTGGACCCCTCAAAGCCACAGCGGCAGGATGCTGTCACAGGGTGAACTGAGTGTGGAGTTACAGAGCTGCATAGGCAGGTCCTACTTAGTAATGAATTGGCCACCCATAAAATCGGTTCCCCACCCCCTCAGGCCCCTTTGCACCCCCTCAGGTAGTATCAGTGTCTCCCCACAGCCATTGCCTCAGATCTGGCTGACTGTTGGAAATCTGGAGATATTATGGAAATAGAAATTCCATGTAAGTTAACTGCAGAGTGAAACTGCAGATCTCGCAAAAGGTCCTGCATGTCGTGAAGACACTGTAGGTGACATTGGAGATCTCTTGCTTCTCACACTGACGAACGAGGGTCCGAGAGCATTAGACCATTTTACCATTGGAGGAAAGAGGGAATGTGTGATGAGAATTTTAGAAAGGATTTGAATATCAAAAGATTAATAAGAAAGGCTCTTAGAAAATTGATGGATCCCTTGAATAGTTTGCAGAAATGACTGTTCTGATTGTCTTATTAAAAGTAAAGCACGAAGCAAAAGGTTCAGGTGGTCGGTCAGAAGAAGTACACACAAAAACAAAACAACATTCATTTTTTTGTTCTTTAGGACAAATTGGAATATGGTTATAATTGCATGTTTTTAACCTAAATTTTGTCAAATGTAATGCAAAATAGACTTATCCTTTTAATGTTAGTCCCATTCTTTTCAGATTTTTTCTGTCCATCTCCATTGACTGTGAATGATGGTCCTTGTTCAGATGGATTTACTGTAGAGTCACCAGCCGCCACCGCACCCTGGTCCCCGTGCCACATCTTCTCAGTTAACTGGGACCTCTTCTTATTTCAGTCGCGCAGAAGAAACTAGCTCAAGGAGGTTTTAGCAGGTGGTTTGCAGTCTTAGCAGCCCAAAAGAGTTGTGTTTTGCCTGATCAGGTGCTGATATTTAATCTTACTAGTCTCTGAGAAGCTCTCCCAAAAATGATATCTTCCCTGTTTCTAATTGCTTTTGAAACCATGGCCAGAGACCATAACTTTTTTTATTGCATCCTATTGATTTTGAAATTTTATTTAATGTTTTAAAAATTTAATATTTGTCAGCTAACCTGGTTCAGACCACTGATATTTGAATACTTAATAGTTTATCTAATGCTTTAGAAAAACTGCTCATACTACCCAAGTTATATATTCTAAGGGGCATCTTGTCATTTTTTGTCTTTTGGGGAAATTGCAGCATAAGAGTGATCAGTCACTTCCCTAATCCCCACAAATTGGCCCTATAACCAGGAAGAATGCGCAGGACTCAGCAAGGCAAGATGGGCCCGGCATGCAGGGTGCGGGCTGGGAACACGGCAGCCTCTTAGACTGCTTGTGTCCAACTTTTTTTTTTAAGGACTTTATTTTTTAGAAGCGTTTTAGATTTGCAGAAATGCCTGATCCATATTACGATGCAGTTTTAACTCCTAGATTTCTGTCCTCTCTCTGCAGACGTCGCCTCATCTCCCAGAGATCGTCCTTGGAGACCCTGGAAGACATTGAGGAGAACGCCCCTCTACGGAGGCAAGTTTTCGGTGTTGCGTTTTGTGTATGTCAATTGCCTGCGGTATAAGATGGCCGCCAAAGTTTGATTTTTTTTTTTATTCTTGATTTATGGAATTAAATGTAAAAAGTGACAGTCTCATCCCCAGACTCATAGTTTGGAAACCCTGACCCTGAGGACCATTAGAACTAGAACACTGTTTAGTCCCAATTAAGTATTGGCATAGCTCCGTGTGGATGTGAATTTGGGTGCCGTTTCCCTTTCGCTCTGAAAGCTGCTGCTTGATGAAGAAGAGCCCGTCATCGTCCCAGCCTTCCCAGGCACGGTGACACCGTCGTCACAGTTTTGGACTTCATTAGGAGGTTCCCGGATGTCACTCTATAGCCAGTTGCTGGGGAAACTCAGTTAGGATGGCTGTGAGTGCTCCCCTGGGGCTGAAAGCAATCCGTTCCTTCCTCAGAATTAGAGAAGTGCTTGAGAGGCATCTTTTTTGATTGATAGCAGTTGCCATGCCTCTGACTGGCAACTTTCCTTCCTCTGGTCCTGCACCTCTCCACTGGCCCCGCCTGCACCCCAGTCCACTCGGCCTTGAGTGGAGGAGACAAAGCTCACATACCACGTCCCCTTCAGTCCTCACCGCAGCGCCAGCTGGGTTGACCGGCGTGGTGGTTCCTCCCTGCAGAAGGAGCTGAGGTAGGATGGGACGCTGCAGCTATACAGGGCATGCACGACAGGCAGCAGAGGGAAAGGCCCCCTGGAGGATGTGCACTCCATCCACGCACCAGCTCCTCTGGGAACCCACATCTGCACCCCTCCTGCTTTGGCCGCTAGCCAGGACTCAGGAGTCCCGGGCTCCTCCCTTTGAGTCTGGGAGGGTGCTGATGTGGATGAGGGGTCTATCCCTCTCCCTGCTTGCCTGGAGCGTCACTCCCAGGTTTTAGGTCTTGTCCGCAGACCGCCTGGATGAAGGGTGGAGCACAGACACGCCTGGGGTCTGATGGAAAGTGTCACATGACTGTAGATCTCATCGCTGACATCATTCCCAAAGAGAAAGTCAGGGCCAGGCAGTCCGATTTCCACTTCTGAAGTCGTTTTGAAAACCTGCTAACCTCTGGGACCATCTTAGGATGAATGGTGTGTGGCTGTGTGATAATGTGGTTTGGGTGCAGGTGATCTTCTATCAGACACTGTTAGATTTGGGGAGAAGGCTGTTTCCTTGAAGGAGTCCTACAAAAAGCTAAATTAAAAGTCAAATTAGGGAGCTGGTGCTGGACCAAAGTAATCAGCAAGAGTGGAGGAGAAACGTTCTCAGGTGGCACCGAATGGCTTTGGCATTTGAGCAGGTAAGGTCACCCCTGCTGCAAGTAGGAAAATCAATAAGTAGAGCTGAAAAGCCTCTGATGTTTCGAGAGGCTGCTAGAAGCCCCAGTCATTTGAGCAATGTGGTAGCTGCGAGCCAAGAAAACCAGGTAAAAAAATGTTCCTCCCTCCTCAGGGATTCCGGGGGCTCAGAGGGTCCCGAGGAGGAGCTGGGCGCTGTGTTCCATCAGCCCTGCCCCCTCGTCTCAGAATCCACCCAGGCTGGTCCTCTGCCCTCTGCCCCTCAGTCCTGTGACGGCACAAATGAGCAGAGCGAAAGTGGCTTATCTGCCTTAACTGTCATTTCATCCAGCTCTCACTTACGGGATACTATGCTTAATTTCTAACAAATCTTGTGTAAATCTAAACTTTAAAAAATAAGTCAGAAATCAAGGGAATTTGGGCAGTTTAAGAAGTCTTTATTTTCCCTAGTGGACTTTTTTTGAATTTAAAAAAAGTTCTAATATTTACTTAGAAACTTACTTGTTCCTAGGAAATAAAATTAGCATGGTGTAGCAGAGGGGATGTTTGGGAGTCAGAGGACCTGAATTCTTGGGCTGATTCTTCTCTAATTGTTTACATGGCCTTGGAAATTCACTTAGCTTCTCTGGGGCCTCTGAGTTTTCCCGTCTGTAAAATGGGAAGGGCAAATCGGCTGATCTCTGACGGCCTTCCTGGCTACCCGATTCTGTGAAATGAGTGCACCGATAATGACGCTGAAGTGTGTTGGGAACTGCGGGGGTGGAAGGCTATTAGCCCAACTTGCTTTTAAACTCAGTGGATTGAACACATGGCTCCAAGGCATCTATTAAAAACCTTTTGCGTAATTAAATGTATCCTGTAATCAGTGCTAACAAGAAAGAGCTAATCTTTCATTAAATTAGTTTTTAATTTAATTCTATCCTAATTTAATTTTGCATCACTTAAAATGTATGTTTTTAAATGCATATTTACACATCAGTGTAGGCAGCTTTGAAATTAATTTGTTCTTTCCTTAACCTGCCACAACCTGAGCCTGGTCTTCCAGTTTCCTTGGCAATTGTTGCCAACACTGCAGTTCTCTTAAAGCATTTCTTAGATTCCCTGGTGGTTTAGTTGGATGCTGAAAAGAAGACAAGACAACAGACAGCTTGCTGAACGAGGGGCAGATTAGCAACGGATGCAGTTAGAATTGGGTGCTGATATCGAAATAAAGCACCTTCGTTAAGTTCTCCTTTTAAAAGTCTTGCTTTTCTCTTGCACGTCACAGTTTGTCAGTAAGTTAGTTTCCAGTGTCCACCTAGAACTCCAAGAATTGAGCATTTACAATGAGAGGGTGTAGACTGGGGAGTTTTCCACTTGCCTGGTGGTTACCTCGTATCCTGGAGATAAGGACCATGGACATCACTGCTGGGTGTCCAGATAAACCTCAGTTCTCTGCAGCAAACGTGGCAGCCGCCCTACCCGCCCCAGGTTTCTGCCTGCCGGGTTGATGGGCGCTGGCTGCTGCGCCCTTTAGTGATTACTGCCACCGCCTCTCTCTCCTGCTGGTGCTGACAGCCACCTGTGGTCCAGGGCCAGCAGAAGGCTGGGGGGTTTTGTGCTCAAACCTGAGGGGCAACAGCACCTCCTTCTGCAGGCGCCGGGGACGGGGGCAGCCCGGGTCGTCCCTCTCCTGGGCTGGGTCCGTGCCCGCTTCCCACTGCAGGGGTGGGGATGGGAAGGTACCCTCATCTAGCCCACAGCCTAGCTCTTGGCCTACTGCCCGCAGACTGGCTGGCCCGAGAAGCTCTGCTTTTGGGGGAAAACAGGGCAAGAGTGTGAGGATACTCCTGGACACTTGGCCCTGTCCAGACACCAGGAGAAGCAGACCTTTATGCTTTCAGACAGTCTCCTCTCTTCAGGAACTACATAGTTCTAGAACCTTCTGTGTTTGTGAGAGGAAGTTGGGGACCTTGGGTGGCCTACAGACTCGCACAGTCATTCTGCAGGTAGAACTGAGGCGGTTTGGGGTCCTGGGTCTGCTTCCAGAGAGCTGCCCCAAGAAGGCAGAGTGAGCCTCTACCCCCGGAACCCCAAGAAGACTAAATCTGGTTTGGAAGCCTGGAGTGTGGGGAGGGGCATTGGTGAGTGTCCCCTACTCGAACCGTGCCTGAAGTCCACAGGAAGCGACTACTAAAGGCCCTCAGGCAGGGCCCTGAAAGTCTTTAAAAGAATCTATTTAAAGCCAAGAATTCAGGACCCTTCATAGGGTGCAGTTTTAAGAATATAGGAGGCAATGGCCAGTCCGTGGCCGAGTGGTTAAGTTCGCACGCTCTGCTTCTGCGGCCCAGGGTTTTGCCGGTTCAGATCCTGGGTGCGGACCTGGCACCACTAATCAGACCATGCTGAGGTGGCGTCCTGCACAGCACAACCAGCAGGACCACAACTACAATATACAACTATGTACTGGGAGGCTTTGGGGAGAAAAAGAAGAAGGAAAAAAAAAGATTGGCAACAGATGTTAGCTCAGGTGCCAATCTTTAGGAAAAAGACTATAGGAGGCAAATAGTAACAAAATATGCACCCTTTGTAGCTAATGGACTGTTAATAGTCACGACGCTTAACATATGTGTGTGAATGTTTATGTGTGTACATGTGTATGAATGTGCATACTTGTGTTTGAACGTGTCGCTCAACAGTTTACAAAACTCTTGTACACATCAGCATGTCAGTCCTCACCAGTGACGGCTCAGGGTCCTGGTGAGTTTGGGGTGGAGGCTGAGAGCACCGAGGTTTCTGCTGAAGTGTCTTGCAGGCCACGGCGGTGGACCCTGCTCCGAGGCAGTGGATGGGACTAGAAAGGGGGCTTTTCCTGCTCCAGACCAAGGCCCAGGGAAGCCCCCCTCTCCTGATGGAAGCCACTAGACATCTGATACCCATTCTTTGCTTTAGGCTGCACTCATTCACGTCAGTGTGATTTTTTCAAGATAAATTACTTTTTTTTTTTTTAAAGATTGTATTTTTCCTTTTTCTCCCCAAAGCCCCCCTGTACATAGTTGTGTATTTTTAGTTGTGAGTCCTTCTAGTTGTGGCATGTGGGACGCCACCTCAGCATGGCTTGATGAGCGGTGCCATGTCCGTGCCCAGGATTCGAACTGGCGAAACCCTGGGCTGCCGAAGCGGAGCGTGCGAACTTAACCACTCAGCCGTGGGGCTGGCCCCCAAGATAAGTTACATTTTAAGGTGGGGTTTCTTATGGAAAAAAAATAATTTTCAGCACCCTCTGGGAAAGGGTTTCTAAGGAAGACTTGCCCTGATGAGAGGGTGGGGAGGAGGGTTGGAGGGTGTACACCCTGAGCTCTGGACTGGGAACATCACCCACTTTCTCTTGAGCTGGGCCCTTGGGGAGAATAAAGATTGGAGTTGTGCATGTTTGTGACCCTGCTCCTTCCCCAGTCCTCCGCCCCAGCGTGCGCCCACACCCCACCTGCCCTCAGCTATACCTCCTCATTGGGTCATCTTGTACTCTCTTGCCTGAAGCCTCAGAGTACAGAACTGACTGATCTCGGGTGAGGGGCCCAGCCCAGACCTCAGTGTGGCTTTGGGAAGCCGGGCACTGCTTTTCTGGAACTGACTCTCTGAAATATAGGTTCTCTGGTACCCACATCCAAAGGCAGGAGCCAGCCTTTGGGCCCTGTGGTCAGAAAGGTTTAAGTAAACAAAGAATTTTGGTAGCAAAAACAGAAATAGAAAAGTCACAGCTCCCTTTCTGAGGACGAGACCAAACTTCAGACTCTTATTTGTTGGGTTTTTTGCTTTTTTTTCTTGTTGTTGTAGTAGCTGTGTAACTTAGAATTTGCCAGATGACTTTGAAAAAAGTATACAGGAGACCTTTCAGCCTGTGGTCTGTTCTGTCGGTCCTGTAGTGCATGCACATGTCGTATTCCAGGAAAAAATAATTTGAATCCAAGTCATTTTGTTCAATAAATATTTATTTAAAATTTATCTTAAAAAGAAAACAGTCACTAGCCGGGTCTCTGATTCGCATTCAAAGTAAAGCTACGACTTCCGGGCCTAGTCAAATGGAGAATTGAGGCAACTGTCCAGGCCGTTCAGGCCAGAGTCCTGCTATGGAAGAGAAATGATTCAGGGTTGTTTTTAAACTGGATTTTCCAGTGTTTTTTCCCCTCTAAGTCCTTTAAATTTACGGTTTTCTACATCCTTTAAATTTACATTACAGTTTTCTGTTCCTGTTACCTGTGTTGACACAGGAGGATTCTTTTTAGGATGACCAGGAGGAATAATATGTTTGCGATCCATGTAGCTTATGTTATTGTAACTGAAGACAATAGTTTTCATTAGCTGGCTTTTCAGAGACCCATATAAATTATTATCAGTATTATCAAGGAAGTCGTCTGTCGTCGTCGGGGTTTTTTTTAAAGCTTCGTTGCTTCCAGCCATATTGTCCTCATTATCCTTGGGGTGACTCAAACCGTTTGTCTGGTCTTTCCTTCCTGTCTTTGTGTGGAGAGGTCTCAGCTGTCCAGCGGGCAACTGACCATAATTTTGAAATGACTTTATTTTTCAGATGTCGAACTCTCTCAGGTTCGCCCAGACCAAAGAACTTTAAGAAGATTCATTTTATCAAGAACATGCGGCAACATGATACCAGGAATGGCAGGTACGACACCGGCAGAAGCTGCCTGCCAGCTTCCCTGTTGGGGGGCGGTCCAGGGGGAAAGGCAGGAGGGGGCCGTTTGAGTGGCCAGACCCCAGCAAAGTGAGGCCCACACTGTTGAGACAAACAGGATGTCATGCAACCTTCCCAAACACACCATCTCCACCCCACTCCTGCCAGAATCCTCCAAAGAAGTCTATGGAAAATGATGCTCCCTAACAGTGACCAAGGCTTGGTGAGATTTTTAGATTAACCGTAAACTGAGTTTTTAATGGTATTCAAATATATTTTTATAGAAAACTTTAAACAGAAAAACAAGTTGCGGTTCTTTTTGGTTGGTTGGTTGTTTCCCTCTTTTTCTGCTTTGTTCAGTTTTGTTTTCCTTTCTCGCTGGGGCTGTTATGCTCTGGTCAGTAAATATCCCGCCAGATCTGCGCCTGAACTCGGTTTTGGCGCCAGCTTTGATGACTCTCTTTAGGAGGGTGGAATCCTGACTTTGCCAGCAGATTCTTCCTGGGCGTGGATTCGGAGTCCTGGGCCTGCTGACATCTGCAGCACGTGCTTCTCCAGCTCTTCAGTTGCTCTTTTGTTAAATGAAAATGATTGTGGTTGAAATTTATATGACCTTGATATTAAAACTCTCCTGGTGACACTAGATCAGAATCATTACTGCTGGCACGTTGTCATTGACTGGCTAAGTCCATTCACGGTGGCGAATGTGGCACTGGGAACAGACCTCCAAGACCTCTGGGATCCCCTGGTGTTCTGTCCCCTTAGAGGCGCCTCCTCCCCACTGACCTGGGATGTGGATCGTGGGTTCCCTTGAACGGGAGGGTTAGAGACACCATCGCTGAGCAGAGGTCCTGCCACAAAGACCATTTCGTTTGATCTCCAGTTGAGTTACAGATCATATGGCCCCCCTAATGCTCTCTAATCCTTACCAAATGAAAACTGCTACAAAGTCTTTAGACTCACAGAATGATTAAGGCCCAGCATTAGTGTAATTTGGTGTAAGATACGCTGTTCAACCTGAACAATAACACTAATGGTTACAGTTTTTAAAGAGTTGTTTTCTTGAAGTTTATACCTATTTTTAAACCTTTCTTGAATAGAGAACATAATTTTATAGCTATTCAGTGGTTTCAGAATAGCAAAATTGACGTCTCTTGTCAGATAATTTTTACGTAGTCAGTATATGTTCCTATTTTAAGTACAGAGCTTTTAGTTTAAGTGTACCCACCTGTCATCTGCTAAACAGAATACTCTGAATTTCTCTCTCCTGCTTACTCTTACCGTCACTTACAATTATTGCGCCTTATTCCTTTAATCACCATATTTGTCTTTTCTTTTGAGGCTCTTACTTACTGAATCCAAATCCCACTCATGTCATTTTTAGAATAATTACTCATCATTTATTTACATTTGTGTTTTTGTCTGTGATCTTTAACCATAAAATAAACATACAAAGCCTTTAAATTCATAAATAAAATCAGTGACAAAGCTAAAAGAGTGGGCCGACTTAATAGTCTACCCCACCTCTTGATGCTGTGGACGCTGCGCAGTCAGATAATCGCCCAGCATGCTTCGGCAGTGAGAGGATGCAGTTAATAGAAGGTTTGGACCAGTGGGATTGCCAGCGTCCGTTACGAAGCCGCCTTCCCCGGCACACCCGTGACCCAGCAACAACGTAAACAGGCTGGAAAGCATGAGTTGCTGGCACTTTTGCTGGGGAGTTTTCACAGGGAGCCAGGACGGACTCTTGGCTTATCTGAGGGTCTGAGAAGTGGGGTTTAGAGCGGGAAAGCAGACCCTTAGCGCTGGGGTGAGACCCACAGGCTGGAGGCCCGTGTGTCCGCCCAGGTGAGAGCTGCTCTTGCTGTGCCAAATGAAGGTGGAAGGCTAGGGGTGCGCTCCCTCCTCCCTCTGGTTGATTAGCAAGGATGGATTGCTCTTGGACGGATGAAAGGAAGAAGTCAGGAGGACGCCAGGAAGAAAATACAGTTTCTGAGGTGACAGAAGGAAATTGTGGTCAAGAGCTGATGAATGGGAGGATGTGGCCCAGCCTTTCAAGAAGGGAAAGGAGGAGAATTGCGCCCACTGCAGCTGGCCAGCAGATGGAAGATTGTCCTGAGGGTGACTGGGGACGTGTGGATGAGCTCCAGTCCAGCAGGGGGGCAGGAGGGATCCTGGTCGTGCTCTCAGAAGGGAGGGACCAGTGCGATGGAGGGGGGAGGGGGTCTCTGATTCCCCCACCTCAGGTGGATGGAGGCACACACACACACAGCACCACCAGAGAGGGTGCGTTCCTGCACAAGGACCGGAGCCACTCGACTCAGTTTGCCTGCCCTTGTTGGTGAGGAATGAGGCTTTACGGGGAAGGCTGGAGGTGTTCATTGATGAGCTTGAAGGTGTGGACTGAAAGCAAAATGGCGTGGGTGCCAGTATGTCTGCCTCTTCCTGACCCCGAGAAGAGAGACTGAAAAGGAGCCTGCACAGTCCCCAGGACCCAGCCAGGCGCCTCCCAGCCTGGATGGTCTCGGTCCCTGCTCCAGCCCTGACGTCTTGCCACTCACGGCCTGCCTGGCTCCCTGAGTCTCCTTGTGACCTCCGACTAACATAGACCAGCCTCAGCCTGCAGGTCGAAGCTGCTGTTCTGGCCCTGAAGACCCTGCTGTTGAGGCTCCTTTGTCCCCAAACCTGCTGACCCTGTGACAAAGGCAGCAGCCTTGAGGTGGGTTTGGGCTCCGGTCTCAGCAAAGACTGGAGTGCAGCTGACAGATGAGAGGGAGCGTCTGTCCTGAGGCTGACCTGACTGAGTGTAAGCACAATTTAAGATAGTAAGGGGGAAAGTACTAAAAACTGAGAACCAAATATGATAAAAGACAATACTTATGTCTGAAAAAATAAAACAAAAAACCCAAGTCAACCTCATGATCAGTAATATCAGGGTCTCTGCTTAGAGAGAAACCTCGGGGCCTCGGCTGGCTCCTTGTTCACCCACTTCTCTCTGGCGGTCCCGGCCGGCCTGTGAAATGGGAGTGAGGACCTTCAGTAGAAGGTGTGGTTCTGCTGCTGGATGGAGTCTGCTTCAAGGAAAAACCATCTTCCTCTGTCTGAATTCTGTGAGGCTGGCGTTGGGGACCTGCTAGAAGGCCTCGTGTGTGGATAATGTGCGGAGAACCAAGCTGAGAGTGTTTTGGAGGCAGGCTGCAGACCTTTGGGCCAGATGGAGCCTGAACACAGGTTACAGACCCCGTGCTGGAAGCCCCAGCCCCGCTGTTAGAACCCGAGGCGTGGTGAGTTCTTCACTGGCTGCCTGCAGACGGGAGCCCTGGGAGGAACAGCTGTGCTCTGCTCTACCTCTGCCGTAACATGAAGACGTGTTGGTGATGGGGAGGTTGTGTTGGCCTGGATAGTTGTGAAAAGAAAGCAATTCTTGGCTGGGCTTTAGGAAGACAGGTCTCAGAAGGTTCACCATATTGTCAAAAGGGCTTATAAAATTATGAGTCTCATAAGGTGGTAATGGGTAACATTTACTGAGTGCTTACTGGGTGCTAAGCTCTAAGTACATGATATGCTTTGTTTCATACCTCAACTCGATGAGTGTTGAGTAAGTGAGTGGAGAGACCTTTTAAATGAGTTTCAGCCTTCAGGACTTCATCTCAAGGAATGGAAAGGATTTAGAAATAATACAAATAGTCCTCAAAATAACCTTATGAGGAAAATATTACTATTGTGTTAGGCAGAATAATGCCCCCTAAAGATGCCCATGTCCTATCCCCAGGACCTGTGAATATATTAGCTTGGTAACATGGCAAGGAGGAATTAAGTTTGCAGATGGAGATGAGGTTGCTGGTCAGCTGCCCTTGCAATAGCAGGATTACCCTGGATGATCTGGGTGGGCCCAGTGCATCACGGTGTTCCTTTAAAGTGGAAGAGGGAAGCAGGAGAGTCAGGGTTAGGGTGATGTAAGATGAGAAAGACTCCACTGTCCATTGCTGGATTAGAAGGTGGAGAAAGGGGCCATGAGCCAAGGCTGTGGCAGCCCCTAGGAGCTGGAAAAGGCAAAGAAACAGATTGTCCCTTCAGGCCTCCAGTGGGAACCCATGGATTTTAGCCCCGTGAGACCATTTCAGAGTTCTGCCCTCCAGAACTGTAAGATAGCAACTTTGTGTTGTTTTGAGCCACTGACTTTGTGGTCACTTGTCACCACAGCCATCGGAAACTAAGACGCTTTGTCATCCCAGTTTACTCAGGGGGACAGTGGAGCCTGGAGCTGGAGAATGGGGGTGGAGTCTAGATCCAGGCATTCGACTCCAAAGCTCAGTGTCGTCATTGAAGGGAGGCTCGGGAAGGAGAAATCCAGACCCGGTAAGACAGCATGTCGTAGATTTTTGAGAAAACCCTGTTGACTTCCGATTTTTAAAAATCATTAGCTAAAGGCCAAAGACCAATAAAAGAATGGCTTAAGCAGATTTGTAAGAATAGTATGAGGGAGACTAAAGTCCAGAATGAAGTGAACATTGATAGAAAGAAAAGAAAGCCGAAACTCTCGTACGCTGCTGGGGGCAATGTGAAATGGTGCAGCCAGTGTGGAAGCAGTCTGGCGGGTCCTCAAGAGGGTAAGCAGTTCCACTGCCAGGTATGTACCTACATGAATTGAAAAGAGGAATTCAAACAGATCCTTTACACCAGTGTTCACAATAGCTAAAGAGTAGACACAACCCAAGTGTCCATCCGCAGATGAACAGTTAACAAAAGAATATTATTCAGCCATAAAACAGGAACGAAGTGTTCATGCATGCTGCAGTGTGCGTGAACCTTGAAAACATTACGCTAAATGAAAGAAGCCAGACACAAAAGGTCACAATTTGTACGATTCCATTTAGACAAAATACCCAGAATAGGTAAATCCATAGAGACGGAAAGTAGATTTGAGGTTCCCAGGAACTAGAGGAGGAAGGGAGAGTTTCTGCTGGGGGCAATGGAAACGTTTGGAAAGA